AGATAAATAAGAATTACCAGAAAAAATTAATTACTTTTGAGAATTTTAAAGGAAAAAAAAATCGGAAAACCGGAATTTAAATTTGTCGATTATTTGTTACAAGCTTTGGCATTTACAATGCTAAGACTCGCAAAATCATTTAATTACTAAGTATTCATTTTCCTTATCTGTGTGACGGTCGATTATTCACACATTTAGACAATATTATCAAAATCCGAACCAAATTTATTTATACAAAAGAATAAAAATATAGTAAACATTTTTTTATAATATAGTAAACATTTTGGAACAGTTCACAATTTTTTTTTCTTTTTGGAAGTTATTTGTAATATATTACATATGAAAATTGTTTTCATGATAACAGTTTCCGTGGTTTCTCGATTTATTTAAAACGTACGGAAACTCCAAACTGATAGGGTTTATTTGCTTCCAAAGAAAGATTTAGGTAAGAAAGTTGAAAATAGGAAAGGTTGTGGCCTTTTACGTAATTGTTGTTTTCTTTCAGAAAAAAATAGTAGTCTGATTCGGGACATAAAATAAACCCTGAGAGAGAAAGGAATTAGCTTTTTCTCTTGCTAGAAAATATCGAATCCATGGTGGTGATTTCTCCGCCCACGCGCATCTCACCGCCGCTGAACAGCCCCTTCTTCCGCCCCTCCCTCCATTTCGCCTCCGGAAAACGCCTCTTCTTTGGGAAAGCGTGGCTCGGTTTCAGAAACCGGTCACCGATAAAATTGGATCCGCGGGTTCTATGGAACTAACCAATGACGCCTCTTCCACTGCCTCGGTGTCCTCAGCGATCGATTTTCTGACATTATGCCATCGGCTCAAGGTATGATGATGATTCGGACAATGGGACATGTTGTTCTGTCTGAGAAGAGAGAACCGCCGGAAATTAGGTCGTGAATTTCTCTCGAATTGTTTGTATAATATTGGACTCGCACTCTTGCTTGAATCGATCCAACATTTAAGTTTCATTTCTAAGATAGTTTATGCAGTCGTTGAGTTTCGATTCTGAATGTGGAATAAGGAACCTCAAAGATATTTCTTCTTTAGCCCTTCAACACCTCTCGAAAATGCATGCATCCATCCATGGGTTCGTAAGTGTTGGATCTGGCATGCGTATGTGGCTATGTTCATGGTCAAACACCCTGAAGTAGCGAAGCTTTTTTTCTGGTCAAGCAGACTACGAAAAGGAAAGGATGGATCAATCAGGGGATAAATGGTCCTGAATCGATTGCGGATCATATGTATCGTATGGCTCTGATGGCGCTTATCGCTGGTGATCTTCAAGGTGCTGACAGAGAAAGGTTAGTTCTTTTCAGAGATTTCTGTGTTGTTCTTGATTTTGTTAAAGGCCGCTCCCTTTGTTCAGTGAAGACTATAGGCACATTCTTAGCATCTGTAGTGTAGTAGGACTGTAGGTGAAAGTAAGAAGGCATAGACAGGTTGGTAGAATCTTAAGTATTGTTATGGAATCATATGCGAAATATAATCAAACTTTTGCAAGGTTTAGTGAAAGATTATAATACTGCGAAAATTATTGAAGTGAAGTAACATATGATATACTATGGTTGCTATAAATTATCTCTACTGAAATGTTTAGGCAGGCTTAATGACCTGATATTGTATAAGCAGACATGTTTGAAAGTTAAAAAGATACAAATCAGGTATAAGAGAGGAAGAGCATCGATGAGAAATTAAATATAGACAAATTTAGCTTTCTCGTTGACCTTTGAAATATTTTGTTTGATTCTGTGACAATAGCTGCCCTTTTCTCCTGTTTTGTCATCTCAAACAGGTGTGTTAAAATGGCTATCGTGCATGACATTGCTGAAGGTAAATGCCCGTCAAATTCCCGGTTTTCATCTGATCAGGCCAGAACATTGCATAAGTCATACTGTCATAATCAACTTCTTTTTTACTAGGAAGCTTCACAAAATATTTAGAATCCGCCGTTGATTAGGAGGATAAATGCGTGTGAATAAATGTCTCGGATCTCTATTTTACCTTCATTCACCGTTTAAATAGAATGTAAAGTGTCAAGGCCTTGTTAGTAGAACCAGGAACAGAGATGCATTGATTTTTCGAGTGATAAGAACTTCTCATGCTGTTATAAGAACTTGCATGCATTTTTCGAAGCATAAGAAAGCAAAGTCTTGTCTAGGAATTAAAACATGTTTTGGAATAGTACAAATAGCAAGAGAGTATCAACTATTAGTTGTTTCTGGAGACAGCTATTGTCGGAGATATAACTCCTTCTGATGGAGTGCCTAAAGAAGAAAAGAGTAGACGGGAGCAAGCAGCTTTAAACGAGATGTGCAAAGTTCTGGGTGGAGGGCTAAGAGGTATCTACAAAGATTTTGGCTTTTTTT